ATCAGGCTTCTCAAACTCTGGTGCATACATGTTCCTTCTGAATTCCCTGTGTCTCAGTAAATGGCTCTACCTTCACCCAACATCCCAAGATTGAAATCTGTCAGCTCTGACCCTTCCCTCTCCCTTACCCCCGTTACATGTTCAGTCATCTTGAACTCCTATCGATTCTCTCCACTCAGTGTCTCTAGAACCTGTCCATCCCTCTCCATCCTTGCCCAGGGCCCTCTTGACTTCCGGCCTGGCTGGCAACTTGGCCTCTTGCTCCACTCAAGCCATGCCTGTTTCAATGATGCCAGAGGGATCATTCCAAAATGCAGATCTTGCCCAGCCAGTGTTGCTCAGTGGTTGAGTGTCAACACATGAACCAGAAGATCACAGTTCGATTCTGGTCAGGGCACATGCCCCGGTTGCGGGCTCAGTCCCCAGTGGGGGGTGTGCAGGAGGCAGCCGATCAATGATCCTATCTCATCCTTGATGTTTCTATCCCTCTCTCTTTCTTCCTCCCTCTGAAATCAATAAAAACATATTTAAAAATAATAATATAATGCAAATCTGATTCTGTCCCAGCTCTGGTCAGGATCCTTCAACAGCTTCCCATTCGGCAAGGCACATCCAGGTCTTGCTGACTTCTCCGGTTCACTGCCTGTTCACCCTAAACTCAACATGGCTTCCTCCACACCTGGCCTGCCGCATGCTGCTGCATCCATATCCTCAGTTCCTTCGGCACACACCTTTCTTTTATTTTTTCCCTCCCACATATACTCAAAAATACTTTCATTTTTGTTTTGTCATAAGGGATGAGACCAAGCACATTGTTCTGTAACTTATTTTTGTCACCTACCATATGTTGTCCACCTTTCCAGGCCAATGAGAGTTCTACTTTATATTTCTTACAAATGGCTCCTGACAAGTGGAATTGCTGAGTCAAAGGTTATGTGCATTGTACACATTCAGAGAACTGCCAATGTATCCTCCAGAATGTATCCAGTTATATGACGACCAACAATGCATAAACATAGTATATAAAGGCACCCACTTCTCAAAATCCTCATCAACACTAGATAATATAAATATTCTTAAAATAGTCTGTGCTGTTCTATTTCATAACCAAAATGCGAATTTAGCGCAGCTTCCTTCACATAAAGGGCTTCAGCTTCGTGGTTTGAAATGTTCCTGGGCTTCCTTTTGAAACTCCCTATTGTATAGGACCCCAGTGTCAAGATCGAGAGCTGCATTAACTAACTCTCTTCCTCCCACTTCCTGAGACACATCCTCATGTCCCTACCTCACACCTCTGCCCCCTTACCTCTCAACATACTTGAGCTCCTGACACACTGCAGGCCAGGTGTCCAGGAAAGGTTAGAAATGAAGATGCAGCCAAAATAATGTTTTGGGTGTTTTTTTTTCAACCTGGAAATAAAGGCTTAGGCCATTTAATCAACTGGTTAGTTCACAAATGCTACATTTATATTAGAGGCAGACTGCTCAATAATCAAGTCACCGGTAATGACCTTGAGACCCTGGATCTGAAACCCATGAGTAAGATCAGGAACCTGGGCCTTTTGCTACACCTCAATAAGGTTGGATCTGAAACTGTATCTGTAGGATTGTGACAAATAATTAGGGTTTTAATTTTTTAACATTTATTGAAAGCAACCGCTCATTTTGCTTTTAACTCTGCATAAGAGTCTTTATGGGTAAGAGCAGCCAAGCTATTCTTCAGTTCCGGCTGCATCCGGGGATAATCATAACTATGGCTAATATGTGCTGAGCGTTGTCTCTGAGTGTGGCGCGGGGCTGGGTGCTCGTCTCCTTTAACAGATAGACACTGGTCATTCTCAGCAGAAATGGGAAACGGTCTGCGGATGACCAGGAGCATTTCGGTCCAGCTCTCCTAACGTCCATCAGCATCTGTCTCCAACCCGCGTCTGCAGAATAGGAGGCCCCCCGCCCCCCGTCAGCGTTGGCTTCCTAAGGGAAACTTACCCTGCAACTTCTCCAACTCAGATAAATTCACACGTTCTAACCTGTTTGCTTATAAACTGGGATTTGAAGGATGTTGTCCCACTTCTGGGAAACGAGAAGGAGGAGCGAGGCACTGCTATGAAGCCTAAGAAAAGGCTGAAATTAGACTCTCGTGTTTCACAAGTGTCCCTACGCTGCTGACGGCTTATTCTTCTCCAGGAAGCAAACAGCCGCTCCAGACCCACCGGGAGGGAGGCCTGGCCAGGTCACTCTCCTCTCGGGACCGTCCCCTTCACTGGGCAGACCAGAGAGGGGCCCGGCACAGCCTCAGGGCAGCCCGCCCCGCCGGCGCGGCTGGGGGCGGGGGCGGGGAGCCGAGGGTGAGGACGGAGCGCCCGGCCACCCGCACACTTGAAGGCAGCAGTCAGCCCCGCCCCGAAGGGCGCAGCCGCCGGCCTCCCCCGGGCCGCCGGGCGGGCGGGAGCGGGAGGAAGCGCCGGGAGGCCTGCGGGCGGGGCGGGAAGGGCGGGGCGTGGGGCGAGCCCGCGCCGTCGGAAGAAGCCCGGAGGGTTCCTGGCGGCTGGCGCTGGAAGGCGGCCGAGTTCTCATAAAAAGAGAGAGAGCAAAAACCAAACCAAACAAACAAAAAAAACACACCTCGTCTGAGCCTGACTCTGGCGGCGGTGCTTTCGCCAGAGCTTCGGCTGCGGTTCCGGGCGCAAGCCCGCCGGACCGGGACGTCAGCCCTCGGAGCCGGGGCGGCCCATCGCGGGGCGAGGCGGGCGTGTTCTGAGGATGACGGAGAGGACACTTCAACAATTGGTTCCGAGACAACTGGCCTTCTATGGAAAAGATAAAGTAGATCCTTACCTTACAGCAAAGTTCAGATAAGTTCCAGATGAACTGAAGACCTACTGGGAGCTAGGGAGACCCCGAGGGGACCTCTGCGAGAAGGCACCGAAGACAGCTTTGCGATGCCGGGAGCGGGGAAGGTTTCTTTAACAAGGTGTACAACACTGCACAACAGAAGGAAAGGATGGGTCACGCTACACAAATAGAAAATGGGCAGCCCCGGCTCCCTACCTAGCTCCGTTGGTTAGAGCATTATCCCCACACACCATCCCCCGTCAGGGCACATGCAAGAATCAACCAATGAATGTTTAAATAAGTGGAAGAACCAATGTCTGTCTGTCTGTCTGTCTCTCTCTCCCTCTTTCCCTTTGTTCCTTCTCCCCTTTCTGTGTCTCCCCCCAAAATTCAATAAATAAGAAAAAAAGAAAAGAAAAATAAATGGGCAAAGGATATGAACAGGCAATTCCAAAAGGTTAGTAATGAGAGAACAATCAACTTCAATTGTGCTCATAAGTGGAAATTAGTCCCGCCGGCGGCGGCGGCGTGGCATCGACCTGTGAACCTGGAGGTCACAGTTCCATTCTGGTCAGGGCACGTGCCAGGGGTGTGCAGGAGGCAGCCGATCAATGATTCTTTCTCATCATTGATGTTTCTATTTCTCTCTCCCTCTCCCTTCCTCTCTGAAATCAATAAAAATATATTTTAAAATAATAATAAAATATAATAGAAACCACATGAGATACCATTTTACACTTATTAAGATAGCTATTATTACTAAAAAATAAAAATTAAAAAAAAAATCCCTGGCCAGTGTGGCTCCCCAGAACCAAAAGGTTGTGGGTTCAATTCCCGACCAAGGGCACATACCCGGGTTGCAGGTTCCAGCCCCAGTGGGGACAAGTGTGGGAGGCAACCAATTGGGGTATCTCTCTCACAATGATGTTTCTCTCTCCTTCTCTCCTCTTCCCTCCTTTCCTTCCACTATCTCTGAAAAATCAACGGAAAAAATATCCTCAGGTGAGAATTAAAACAACCAAACAAAACACAAAGAACAGAAAGTAGCAAGGATGTGGAGAAACTGGAACCCTTGTGCATTGCTGGTGGGAATGTAAAATGGTGCAGCACTGTGGAAAATGGTATGGCAACTGCTCAAAAAATTAAACATGAAATTACCGTATAATTCAGTAATTTTACTTCTGGGTATAGACCCAGAAGAACTGAAAGCAGAGACTCAGGTATTTGTACACCCATATTCATAGCAACAGATGAATGGATAAACATAAAATGTGGTATATACATACAATGGAATATTATACAGCCTTAAAAAGGAATGAAATTTTGACATGCTACAACATGAAGTAACCCTAGAGACATTATGGTAGGTGAAGTAAGCCAGACACAAAAGGACAAAAACTGTATGATCCCACTTATATGCGATACCTAGAGTAGTCAAAAATCATAGAGGCAGAAAGTAGAATGGTGATTTGGGTTGGGTTGTTTGATGAGTACAGTGTATCAGTTTGAAAAGATGACAAAATTCTGGACTTGAACGGTAGTGATAGTTACAGAACAATGTGTATGTACTTTATGCCATAAACTATACATTTAAATTATTAAAATGGTAAATTTCAAGTTAGGTATATTTAATTTAAAAACAAAAATTAAAGAACATTGCCTTGAGCTAACCGGTTTGGCTCAGTGGATAGAGCGTCGGCTTGCGGACTGAAGGGTCCCAGGTTCGGTTCCGGTCAGGGGCATGTGCCTTGGTTGCGGGCACATCCCCAGTGGGAGGTGTGCAGGAGGCAGCTGATCGATGTTTCTCTCTCATCAATGTTTCTAACTCTCTATCCCTCTCCCTTCCTCTCTGTAAAAAAATCAATGGGATATATATTAAAAAAAAAAAAAAAAAAAGAACATTGCCTTGAATCCAGCCCCTCCAGCTAGCAGAGCCGCTGACCTATCTAGACAGCGCAGCTGACCCCCCCCCCACCCCCCCGCACCTGGGCCTCGGCTCCCCGCGCAAACCTTCGCCCGCCTTCCCCCTACCCACCCCACCCCCACCTCCGTCCCCCTGCCCTGCACCAGAGACGCAGCCCTGCAGCCCTGGCTAGGCTCACCGCGCAGGCGCAGAGCTGAGGTTGGGTGGGCAGGAGGAGGCGTGGCCTCACTATGCGCCTGTGCCGGATTCCAGCTGCAAGTGTTGTGGGGTTAATGATGCCCAGGTTGGGCATCCCGGCCCGCCGGCCACGTGGAGACCTGCACTGCACACGCGCAAACCGAGCACCCGCGTCAAAAGACGGAGAGAGCGCGCGCTCCCCACGTCCTGCGTGTCCGGCTGCCAGGCTTCCGTCTGTGCCGCGACTCCCTCCGGGCCGGGCTGGCGCGCCCGCGTCTGAAGAGCGATGCCCCGGGAGATCATCACCCTGCAGCTGGGCCAGTGCGGCAACCAGAGTGAGCGAGCGCGCGCCGGGCCCCTCCAGTCTCGGGTCTGCCTCTCTGGGTCCCGCTCAAATGCTTGGCATCCTTTTGTTGTCCTTTCTCTCCCATGACCCCCCCACCCCCACCCGCCCTACTGCGCATGATGAACCAGCCCCAGCCCCAGCCCCAGCCCCAGAGCTACGCTTCCAGCCCTGGGCTGTGAAGGCTCCCAGACCAGGGGTTTGGGATCCAGCCTCTGAGTGTGACAGCCCGTGCGCCCAACCCTGGGCTTCTGAGGCCTATGACGCTAGCAGACCCAGCATCTCTCCCCATTCCCCAGTTGGGTTCGAGTTCTGGAAACAACTGTGCGCAGAGCATGGGATCAGCCCCGAGGGCATCGTGGAGGAATTCGCCACCGAGGGCACTGACCGCAAGGACGTCTTTTTCTACCAGGTGCTCCAGCGAGTTGGCCAGGGGGCTTGAAGGGACGGGTTACCGCCTGGTCTTGGGCAATCCCGCTGACTAGAGGGGCCAGGGCGGCTGGCTTGAGGGAGGGCAGGCAGGAGCCAGAGTTGGGAGGACGGAGGACTGGGCAGGCCTTTGCTGAGTGGGCCCCCTCTTGGACTCCCTTTGACAGGCAGACGATGAGCACTACATCCCCAGGGCTGTACTGCTGGACCTGGAGCCCCGGGTGATCCACTCCATCCTCAACTCCCCCTACGCCAAGCTCTACAACCCAGAGAACATCTACCTGTCAGAGCACGGAGGAGGAGCTGGCAACAACTGGGCCAGTGGATTCTCCCAGGTATTCAGATGGCCACCCCAGAAACCCTCGATGTTCCCTCCCTTAGGCAAGGCGGGCTCAAGCAGCCTGGGGATATAATTAAACTAAATTAACAATAAAAAGGAGACAAAGGCATACCCTGACAAGAGGGATAGCCTGGGAGAGGTTTATGCAAACTGCAAATTATTTGCAAAGTAGCTTTTCTGAGTTGAGGGCCACAGCTGAGGCTGTGCTTGAGGGTGGCAGCGGTGTCCCTGAGTAGCATTCTGCTCTCCAGAATCCTTCTCCTGATCCTCCCTCCCATGTCTCTATGCAGGGTGAGAAAATCCATGAAGATATTTTTGACATCATAGATCGAGAAGCAGATGGAAGTGACAGCCTAGAGGTGAGGTTTTGCCCCACTGAAGAAAAAAACAAAAAGGCTGAAAAGTGCTGGGGAAATGTCAGGCGGTAGCCTGAACAGGCGGTGTGATGGGGGCAATTAGAGTCAAAACTCATTTACTGAGCATCTGATGTGAGATATTGAGGTAAATAAAGTCCTTGTCCTCAAGGAGATGCTAATCTGGATGCACCAGCTTCTTAGGCAGGAGTCATCTTTCCCAGGGAGCCTCAGCCTGAATGGACACGGAGGAAGGCTTGAGACATGAGTGTGTTGGGCCTGGGGAGTGAGACAAGCCTGAAGTCTCTTCCCACTTCCCAGATCCCTGGAGGCTGCCTTTCTGTCCTTCTTACCGCAGGGCTTTGTGCTGTGTCACTCCATCGCTGGGGGCACGGGTTCTGGCCTGGGCTCCTACCTCCTGGAGCGACTGAATGACAGGTAAAGCCTGTGTTTGGGAAGAGGGCATTAGCTCTGGTTCCCTGGTAATGTCTTTTTTTTTAAATCACTTTTTTCCTCTTGCACTGGAAGACCTGCAACTAGCCTTTGAGTCCTAGGTAGGAACAGAGCCTGGCCACCTAGGGAATATCTTGGAAACAGTAACTCCTGGGAGGGGTGTTTACCTAGGGAGAGGGGGGCAACTATAGAGTGTGATGCTTTGGACTTATCCTTTTTTTTTTTTTCTTTCCTTAATCCTCACTCGAGGATATGCTTATTGATTTTATTGTTTATATGTTTTTATTGATTTCAGAGAGAGGAAGAGATGGAAACATCAATGATGAGAATCATTGATTGGCTGCCTCCTATAGGCTCCCTACTGGGGATAGAGCCCAAAACCGGGGCATGTGCCCTGACAGGGAATCAAACTGTGACCTTCTGGTTCATGAGTTAATGCTCAATCACTGAGCCACACTGGCTGGGCGAGGCTTATCCTTTTTGGCTCCTGTGCTCTGAAGACTCAGTTCTGCCCTCACCCTTTTGTATAAGAATTTGGAGACACTTGGAAAGGAATGGCCCATTATCCCCAGAAAAGACAGAGATAGGCAGTGATGGTGCTACCTTCCCCTTTCCTTCTTCCTCACTCTCAGGTACCCCAAGAAGCTGGTGCAGACATACTCAGTGTTTCCCAACCAGGATGAGATGAGCGATGTGGTGGTCCAGCCCTACAACTCGCTGCTCACACTCAAGAGGCTGACCCAGAACGCAGACTGTGTGGTGAGCATAAGAGGAGGAAATGGGGGCTTGGGTTCTCCTCCCAAACCGGGAGACACATACACCTGCCCTTGCTGAGCCCCAGCAGAGAGAACAGATGACCAGCAAATCCATACCTCGGAGCCCAAATTATGAAATAAGGACCTGATCCCAAGTTGCTCACAATCCTTCCACGTGTCCCCCTTATTTAATGCCTACTCATGCTTAAATTTTCAGCACAAAGGTCACTTTGTTAGCATAAACCTTCCTGACCACTCAGTCAAGGTCAAATGCCTTTGTGCATATTTCAGGCAGTAACTATACTTTTCTGTTGTTTTATATTTAATGTCAGTCTGTAGTCCCCTCCACTAGACTGTAGACTGGGTGAAGGGGAAGACCATGCCTGCTTACTCCCTTGGTATCTCCGGAGCCAGGCTCAGTGCATGGCACATGGGGGTAAACAAACATTTGTTGACTGCACTGGATGGTAGAAAGGTGTCTCAGGATGCCCCAGACACAGTACATTCCTTTTAAAATAACACACTTACTTCCTCGTTTTGGACTTTAGAGAGGGGATAAGCTAATAACTTATTTCTCTGCCCCCTTTCTCCTCAAAAAGGTGCCGTGACCCTCTTCTGTCCTCCCCAGGTGGTACTGGACAACACTGCCCTGAACCGGATCGCCACAGACCGCCTGCACATCCAGAACCCGTCCTTCTCCCAGATCAACCAGCTGGTGAGCCATCACTCCTGGACTCTTGGACTGGAACACTTGTCTGGGGAAGGGAGCACCCCCCCAACAGGCCAAGACCCATGACATGGCATCCCTGTCCCCAGGTGTCCACCATCATGTCAGCCAGCACCACCACCCTGCGCTACCCTGGCTACATGAACAACGACCTCATCGGCCTCATCGCCTCACTCATTCCCACACCCCGGCTCCATTTCCTCATGACTGGTTACACCCCCCTCACCACGGACCAGTCGGTAAGAACAGCCCTCGGTGTCTCAGGCCCCACTGGCCCCGGGCCCAGAAACCTTTAACCTAGCCTCTCTCTCCTCCCTGCTGCCCCAGGAGGCTCTGTGCTCAGGGACTGGCACAGACTGTAAGACTTCCTTGCTGACTTGCTCTCCTCTCTGCCTTGCCTTTGGCTCCCTGCAGGGTCTGGGCTGTACGGGATCTGCTTATGCTCCTGCACAGGGCCATGAGCTTGCTGAGCTGAGGCGGCTAAGATTCCTGATCCCACAGCAGAGGCTCAGTATAGGCCTGAATCTAAAGACACTCCCCAAGGAGGCCATACTGCCCCCAGTCTGGTGGGGGACATGTGTTGCCTACTCTTCTCTGTCCGTGCATCTGTGGACTGTGCCCTGAGTGCTGGCCTGGTCCCTGTGGCCCACTGTCCCCTCAGGTGGCCAGTGTGAGGAAGACCACGGTCCTGGATGTGATGAGGCGGCTGCTGCAGCCCAAGAACGTGATGGTGTCCACCGGCCGGGACCGGCAGACCAACCACTGCTACATCGCCATCCTCAACATCATCCAGGGGGAGGTGGACCCCACTCAGGTAGGTGAGGCCCCTTCGTTCCACCCTGGACCCTGCAGGGGTAGAGGAGAGGCGACCACCACCACCCCTGTGCCCACCCCAGGTCCACAAGAGCCTGCAGAGGATCCGGGAACGGAAGCTGGCCAACTTCATCCCCTGGGGCCCAGCCAGCATCCAAGTGGCCCTGTCCAGGAAGTCTCCCTACCTGCCCTCTGCCCACCGGGTCAGTGGGCTCATGATGGCCAACCACACCAGCATCTCCTCGGTGAGACTAGCCTCCTGGTCTTTGGCTGCTCTGTTCCACTAGCCCCTTCATCATTCTCCCCCCATCTATTCCAACCTCCCTGTCCTGCACTGGCTCCCGTCATGGAGATTTCTCTCTTTCAGCTGTTTGAAAGTTCCTGCCAGCAGTACGACAAGCTGCGGAAGCGGGAGGCCTTCCTGGAGCAGTTCCGAAAGGAGGACATCTTCAAGGAGAACTTTGATGAGCTGGACAGATCCAGGGAGGTTGTGCAGGAGCTCATCGATGAGTACCATGCAGCCACGCGGCCAGACTACATCTCCTGGGGCACCCAGGAGCAGTGACTTCCTCACGACTCCCCTGGATAGTAAGCACCTTCCCATCATGCTGGTCCCTCTGACCCACATTCCCTTCACCAGCAACCCTTTTAGGTTCCTCTCCAGCCCAGAAGCTAGCCCTACTCCCTCTCCCATGCCCTAAGCTTAGATATGCTTGTTTACATCTAACAAAATAATAAAGCTTGGTTGTGAATATAATCAGGTTTTGGTCTGTGACCATATAGGGATGAGGAAGGCCCCTCCATGTTCCCTCCCAGTGCCCAGGTAAGTGGGGTAGGGTGACCTTTACCTGCTCTACCTTCTTACCACTTAGTCCAGGTCTTAGCGTGTCTGTTTCCCTTAACATCCTTTGCCTAGAACTAGGCTGTTTCACTGGACTTAGTCCTACTCTCAAGACTATAGAGGACTCATTACTGAGGTATGCTATCTCCTCCATGCCTAAGCTCCTACCCCAGGGTGGATGAATGTTGCTCCAGCCTCCTTTACTCAGGAATGAGGCTGTAAGGATTACTGAAGGAGGGCCAGTGTTCTGAGCAGGACAGGAAATCTGGGACTCTAGTTTCCCAGTGCCCTAGCCCAGTGGTCGGCAAACTCATTAATCAACAGAGCCAAATATCAACAGTATAACGACTGAAATTTCTTTTGAGAGCCAAATTTTTTAAACTTAAACTATATAGGTAGGTACATTGTTATTAACTTAATTAGGGTACTCCTAAGGCTTAGGAAGAGCCACACTCAAGGGGCCAAAGAGTCGCACGTGGCTCTCGAGCCGCAGTTTGCCGACCACGGCCCTAGGGTATCAGATCCTCAGGAAATCAACCCCATTCACTCTGATCTGATAAAGCAGCAACAGACCTCAGGAGTAGGGCTGAGCCCATCCTGACACGCTCTTTATCTGTGCCAGAGAAGTTTCTGGGTCTATCCTGCCCCAGGTTTCTCTCCATTCCAGGCCCAAAGCAATAGGCACACCACAGATGGATCTAACTAGGCCTTTCAAGCTAGACAGCAGGGGAGGAAACTGGGTTGTGCTAGTCCTGATGACTCACTGCCCTCTGGCCTCAGGGACACCAGGAGGCCACCTTTGTGCACTCATTGGAGAAAAGAAGAGTAACTGCCAGCTTCCACAACTGCCCTCTTGTCTACCTCACCCATCACCCAGTGGCAGCATACTGGCCAGGAAGAGGTTAAATCCAGACAGTAAAGGAGGGTGGAGCCCTGTGGTATCCAGACTTCCCTCAGTGCTGGTAAAAGCCCAGAGTGTGGGCGTCCACAGGGGTGGAGCTCTGAGCTATGGGGCTCCAACTTGTCCCACTGACAAACTCCCACAGGAAAGGTTTGTGTAAATAAGGATTTTTTTTTTTTTTTTTTTTTTTGCTTCTCTTCTACAAATAAATTAAGAAACAAACTAGAAAATTGTCTGCACCCATTGCTGCCCTTGGGTGTGGGGTATGCCCTGTCCCTGCAGGGCTAAAAGGGTCCATCGTTCCCTCAAATCTCAGAGCAGTCCAGATCCAGGCTGGAGATGGAAGGGAGGTCGTGACCTCTTGGCAGGCTCATTTCGGCAGCTGCCCCAAACAGCCAGAGTGTCCCTGGGGCTCGTCCAGGCCGGGGTGCTGGCTGGGAGAGGAGCTGTCTGGCAGGTCTTGGCATGAAGAAGAAGGACTGCTGCAGGGCCTCTCAGGGGAGGGGTTAGCCAAGTAGGCATTCACCAGCTGCATGATCTCTTCCACCTAAGAAAGGGCAGAGGGCAGAATACAACAGTGGCGACTGGGTTCTCCTGTCTCACCCTCCACCCGGCCTCCTTACCAAGGCCTTACATGAGCTGCCCCTACCAGCTTTCCTTCCTCATCACCACTCTCTCACTCACAATGTGCCAGTCATACTTCCTTCTTTGGGCTCCTCTAACAAGCTAAGTTAATTCTCAGCTCAGGGCCTTTGAACTTGCTATTCCCTCTAACTGGAATGCTGTTCCCGTAGAACAGCGGTTCTCAACCTGTGGGTCTCGACCCCTCTGGGGGTCAAACGACCCTTTTACAGGGGTCGCCTAAGACCATCGGAAAACACATATATAATTACATATTGTTTTTGTGATTAATCACTATGCTTTAATTATGTCCAATTTATAACAATGAAAATACATCCTGCATATCAGATACTTACATTACGATTCATAGCAGCAGCAAAATTACACTTATGAAGTAGCAACGAAAATAATTTTATGGCTGGGGGTCACCACAACATGAGGAACTGTATTAAAGGGTCGCGGCATTAGGAAGGTTGAGAACCACTGCCATAGAACTTCCTATGCCTAGTTTAGATGCCACCTTCTCTGAGTATACTTTCCTGACCATCCTACATAATGCCATGGCCCCCTCCGGTCACACACCCTTTCCCTTGTAGCATTTGTCACTCTATTAAATAGTCCACACCCCTCTTTCCCACTCACCTGGGGACTCTGCAGGAGGAGCTGGCTCTCTCCCACCCTCAATGCCAGGGTATGGGGGCCCATTAGCTGGCAGGCGGCCACATGACCATAGCTGACACTGTGGATAGGCTCTGTCTCACCGGGTCGGGAGAGGGACATGGCCTTGGCTCCCAGGCCCAGGCATAGCTTCTGTGGAGCACCCCCACCAGGCTCCTGGGGACAGACAGGCAGAGTCAGGGTGCAAAGAGAGGACCCTGCGGCATTATTTTTGGAGGGAAGAGATGGCTGAGAGCAGGAAGTTTCCCGGTCCCCCTATGAACCATAGTGAATGTGTGGAGGAGGGGCTAAAGCTCCAAAGATGTGGGGGCCCAAGGGCCAGTGACTCCTGGGGTCTGAGATGGACAGCTGTGCTGGGTGTAGGGGTGAAGTGGCCCACAGTTGGGGCCTCTGGCTCTGGGGCAAAGGTGTGGGGCTTGGGCCACCAGAGTCCCCTTCTCCCGTCTCCCCCTCACCGTGCTCAGCTCCAGAACTTCATACCGAGCAGCGCCGAACCCTGGACACTGCGCCGCCAGAGCCAGGTAGGCAGCCATGGCCTCAGCTCGGCCCATGCCCCGGAGCCGCTTCCAGCCGCCCAGCACGGCAGCCGCCATGCCGGCGCCACCTCCTCCCTCTCGGACCACGCTTCCCGCCGGGCGGCCGGCCCCAATGCGCCGGGCCCGCTCCGCTCGCCTCTTGGCCAGGCCCGAGCTCCAGATGGCCCCGGCCAGCAGGGCGGCGGAGGGGGGAGGCCTGGGGATCGGGCGGGGAGGGTCTTCCCGCGGCGGGGTGGGGGGCGGCAGCAAGCGGTCCAGGCGCGGCAGGGGCGCCCTCGGGGAGAAGTCCCGGTGCAGGCTCTGCAGGCGCAGCGCCGCCAGGGCGCGCAGCGTGTCGTCGGGCGGGGGAGGCCGGCCGCGCAGCAGCAGGGCGTGAGCCTACGGGGAGGCACTGGCGTCAGGGAAGCAGCGGCGGCTGGACCATCGTGCCCACACCTCGGGGCGAGGAATCTGAGGTCTGGGTTCGAGTAAAGCCTCCCACAGGGTTGCCACACGCCGACATGCAATGGCCCAACAAGGGAGTTCAGGCTCGGGGGCCTTTGGGGGGCGTCAATGCTAAAACCCTCACCTGCTCAAAGAGGAAAGGCAGCTCGTGACCGTCCGGGGACAGCCCCTCGGGGCGCAGAGGTCCGTGCAGACGGAGACACAGTCTCCAACCCGCATCCGGCGAGTCTTCCAGCGCCGCGGCTTCCTCCGCCGCCAAACTGCGATGGAGAACCGGGCGCTGAGCGAGGCAGCGGCAGCTCCCATCCCCCCAAGGGTCGGGGCGGGACGGGCCGAGCTTGGGGAGGGGCTTTGGGAGCCGGGCCAGAGCCGAGAGGACCTCGGAGTTGAGCTTTGAACCTCCACTGCAAACCGCTGGCGGACAGGGGTCCGTCTTAGAACCAGCGAACTTTACTATGCAGGGCAAGGGGCAAGCGCTCATAAACGTCTGCTTAAGGACTGACCTCAGTTTAGAGGAAGATGGGCTAACGGAGAGGTGGGCTGGGGCTGGACATTTACTTCTCAAACCTGGTGAGCACGTCGGCCATGAGAGTCCCCCCAGCCAGGGCTCGCTCCTGGGCCCCTCGCTGCTCGTACAGCGCGAAAGCGTTGCGGCTTCGGGCCAAGCCCAGCCGCCCCACCAGCTCCCGAGCAACCTGGAGGGGAGAGTCAGACCGCTCAGGGGTCTCGTCAGGACTGCTGGAGGGGCTGATCCAACTGGAGGCGTCTTTCAGGTCTCAGTCCTGCCACACACACCCCTTATCCAAATGATGACTCTCAGACTCGGGGCAAACCTGGGGCCGGCGCCCCAGGAGAGCTACGCATAGGAAGCTGGGGGGAAGGGCTGATGTTGCAGGGGGTCTCTCTCTGGTCTTACCTCCGCCGCCGTGGTGTGGGAGTCTATGGCCACCGGGCAGGCACCAGCCCCCGGGCAGTGCACGGTGCACAGCAGCTCTTGCCGTCGGCTCAGCGCGGAAATCTCTGCCAGCGAGGGCACCAGCTCTCGGCCGCGTGTCCGGCCCAGCGCTTTGCGGATGAAGCGCGCATATTCCGCCAGCTCCGAGTCCGGGAGCGCCTGCTCCGTCCTGGGTTGGTGAGAACCCTCAGATCAGGGCTCCGAGGGCTTTCCTTCTCCCCTCCCTCTCTCATTCTTATTTCACAGTTTATTTCATCACGTTGATTCCCCCCCCCTCGAACTCTGAGTTCCATGAAGGCAGCGACAGGCTCCTCTGTATCTACCCCTGGCGCCAGGTATGGAGCTGAACGGCTTTCTAAGGCTCCCGGCGGCTCTCTCCGAACTGCCCCTCCCACTTCCCAAAGTCTCCCTGGTCCCTCTTCCGGTTGAAATACAGCCGCTTTCCGCTTTCCAACCTAAAAGCCCCGGCGCTGGATTGCATCGGCCCCAAGAAAAAGCACCCTTTTGACTATTCCTCCGCCCAAAGGGGGCGCCTTTTTGCAATTCCTCCGCCTGCAAGTGAGAGGTGACCCTGTAATTCCCAGAAAGCCATTGTACATATCAGCAATCTGGAGCTCGGGCCTGACCTTGGGCAAATCCCTTCCCTCCTTCGGGTTTAAGTTCTTCATCTGCCAAACCCTTCGAAAGGCCTGTCATCCTCCCCCAGCTCTATAGCTCCCTGCCTC